TTCTGTATTTTCCCTAATATAATTGTAAAACTCTGTGCACGACATTTTGAACGTATTTAGGTACATATATATTAATCAGCGCTTTGGACTTACCGATTGCTTTTTCATAATTAAGTTAAACAAATATTTGAATTCCGTGTTGCCTGTAATGGGATTTGACTTTCTGGAAATTAACAAATTGTGGCAAGCTTCTTCGCGCACTCAGCTGAAGCCAGACATGTAAATTTGCATTAAAATGGTGAGTTTGAATCAACACCACGCGTGCGTGGTATGAAAGTATTATTTTTAAATACGAACATTTTATGTCTCCATTGTGCCCTCTGACGAGATTTAACGTTAAATCATTCGAGATTTGTCATATAAAATTCAATCTCGAAAGGCAGTAGATTTAAGTTAAAACTTCTTTAAATCTTCAATAATATTGATCAATAAATACAATTTGTTGGGTGTGGCATCCACATATTCACATGCCATAACGCTGACGACACACAATCAATTTTGCCTTTCAATTTTCTCACACACATTGCTTGTCAAAAAGCATCAAAATTGAAAGCCATTACAGGGGCTGCATTCAATTTAAGAAGCAATGTCATTGTCAACATGCCGTCTTCGAGAAAACGACTAAAATTACTAGCTTCAATTCAATTCCTAGAAGAAATAATGTTCATTCAAACAAAACTCAAGTAAAAGGTATGGAATTTTAAGAAAAAGCAATTACTTAGTTTTTATTCATACGGCCCAATAAAACTAAAAGCTAAGGCAAAAAATAGAAGAAATCCACGAAAATATTGGGAGAAAACCTTATTAGTTAGAAGGTTTGTAGTTCGTTTTATAATAACGTAGAGGAATTTATTATTTCCGTTTTATTTAAGGGTAGAACACGATTTAGAAGGCATTTGCTGAAATATTTGCTGTGGGAAGACGAGGAAGGTGACTTTAAAAACTTCACGCGCTTGGACATAACTAAGTTCGAAGGACTATTAAGTTTGGTAAGTTTGAAGATAAAAAAAAAAAAAATAAGTGTGTTCATAAGAATATGAACATGAAACTCTGCCGCAATAGAGATAGGATTTTAGAAATATAACACATTCATACATAAATATGCAAACATACGTAAACCAATGAAATGAACAGGAAAAATATACAGTCCACTAAATGTCAAATGCAATGATAAGCAATAGAATTGTAATGTGACCGACCCTTGCTCATAGAACNACCGATGAAATAAACAGGAAAAATATACAGTCCACTAAATGTCAAATGCAATGATAAGCAATAGAATTGTAATGTGACCCTTGCTCATAAAATATGTGAAAATTGCTTATCTGAACAAAATACATAAATTACAGTGTATACAGAAAACATAAAGATAATATAAGTATGAAAGAAACACGCATACACCAATATACCAATGCACACAAGCAGCAACTGACAGCCGTTCATCAATTGTTTTAATACGTGCGTTAGATGCACTTAAGTCAACAGTGAACCTAAAAAAATATAAAAGATCAATACGTTGGTCTTTTATCCCTTATTAGGATTCACTGATTCTGCATAAGACACATAAATTTTAGTGCACTTAAAATGCATTGGTATCTGATGTATACAATGAAGATAAGAATACAAATTTACGCATGTACACACATACACACATATACGTAGTTAAGGAATTAGTATTAGAAAATGTATATAAGAAAGAAATATTCAATAAAGAGGTCAGATGAAATACAGCAATCTCACGGTGTACATCACGTATTTTTGTGATCTTCACTATCCCCCACTCGAGGTAAGAAGTAAAGTTGATCAAAACTATAATAGTTTTGTACAAAGTGTTTATATTATAAAAATTATAACTACAACTTAGAAAAAAATTTCTTTCAGCAAATGTTGTTCTTTACCGTTTTCATAATTTTTCTTAAATTCGGGAAAATGATTCGGAATATAGTACCATTCGTAAAATTTTCCAAACTATATGTTATACTTATTTACCACGAATAAGAAGCCAATAATAGCTGTTTTTTTTTTGTTACACGCATATACATCTACGCTTAACGTGTAAAAAAACAACCATCGACAATTTCCATAAGTAATTTTTATTTTATCGAAAACTATTCATAAACGCACATAAAGTTCGTCCTTACAATTTTTAAGCTCAGATACGTATGCGTGTAAAAAAAACACGCCTAATATTAAGAATTCACATAATCAATGTCCGCAACTGTATTTATAAAAACATACATAATCAAACGTCAAATATTTCAAAATGTGAACGTCAAACATATCTCGTTGTGGCAATGGAGACGGTTAAGATCTAGCAACTAGATTTATTAAATCTTAATAGGTAGATCTTTCAATGGAGACATAGTATTATATAAATAATTTATCTTTGTATTCTTACATAATTCATGTATTCTTTGTGTTTTTTTTTTTTTGGTTAAAATACAGATACAATTTTATTTATTTGATTAATGTTGAGTTTTACATGTAAGAATTGAAGTGAAGACATAAATTGTTTTTGTTTGCTTAATATTTACTCTGTGAATTTTTTACGTGGAGTATCTGAATTTGCACGGTTTTTGAAAATGCTGGAACGGATCCCCTGTTTTTGTATGAAAGTAAAGAACTTTTTTATGCGGCTTTCCGAGGATCACATGTACCGCATAAAAACAGACCTAAGTGTTTTCATGTTTACTATGCGTTATTTCCTTCAGTGAATTCATAAAATTATTCTGTGTAGTTTAATGATTTTTGAACTTTTTCTCAAATTTGTGCAATCAAATCGGACATTTTAAGGTTGGACCAATAGTCTAAAACCGGGACTTGTCCGGGAAAACCGGGACGGAGTGAAGCTTTCAAATTGCTGTAGCTATATGAAAGCGTTTTGGAGCTGAAACCAATTCAGTTTTTGATTTTGAATTTTTTGTTAATTTTTCAGTTTCATGGCGCTTGCAGCAGCCATATATGCATATAAAAACGAATTCTACTACTAATATTTGGAATAAAATTGAGCAAATATTTTTGCCTCTTTTCATTGACGGTAAGTTTTATGGTATCTTTGCAGCCGAGTCCAACAGAAAAGTTCCACTTCGCTTCGTTCAGTGTGAACACCAGCAGCTTCGCCTTGTTCCACCTTGCTTCGCTCGGCGCCGCTCGGCTTTGCGTGTGAACGTACCCTAACACCTAAATGCATGCTACAGCTTCAGCATTAACGATTGAATTTCTTTCCGTTAAAAAAACAAAAATAGAATTATTTTGATAATTACCTAAACGATAAAAAAAAATGAATCGTTTCAACAGAAACGATTGCTTTTTTTTGGTAAACGCTAAAATTAACGTTACAATGCATTCATGCATGTTTTACGTTACACTCAATCCTGTAAAAAGGCGTGTTTTTGCCTTCTTGCCCTTGTCTAGCTCAAGCATTTCATAATATTAGTTGTGTTTTCGTATTATCCAGCAAAAAATATCCAGTAACTTGCCAGTAACCAAATTTCGGAAAGTAAGCTAATATTTAACTCCCAATGACTAAAATATGCAAGAAAGTACGAAAACGCAAAACCAGCAAGAAGGTGCTAGTTTTATGAACAGCTGATTAATTTATTTTCCGATGCAATTTTCTTAGAAAACAAGTATTTTCCATCTTATTATAAATTTAAATAGGTTTATTTTGTCAATTGCAGCTCTAAAAGCACCACAAACAATTATTTTGTTAATGTGAATTGCGTTAAGCATCATTCCATTAGCTGTTTTTCTTTCTTTAAAAATTTATCCATTAAAAATCCAGTAAAACTTGCAAGTTCAGCTGTCATTTTTGCTCTAGTCTCAAGCAAAAAAACAAAAGGCGGTATTAGGCTTAAATTAAAGCTAGAAGTCTCGACTACTATCCCTGAAAATACCATCCCTACACTTACAGCAAAACCTGATTTTGTGCGAAGTTTGAGTACCCACCGCAATTAAACAAAAGGGGATAGAGCCTTCCACTTGGGCCGAAATTAAGTCTTGAACTTTCGACTACAATCGCTTAAAATACCATCCGTGAACCTTAACCCTAAGGTCACTTATAGTTATTGATTTAACAGCAAAAACTGGTTTTGACAAAACTTATTTATTCAATTTTTTCAATAGCACAGTATTTATTCCAGTATTTTTATATTGTTCAATAAATGACTTTTAGTGACCATCAGGTCAAGGTGCGGGGATAGTAGCCGAAAGTTATAGCTTTAATTTAAGCCCCAGTTAAAGGTTCTATCACCTTCTAAAATATTGCAAAAAACGCGATTTTTTGACACTTTGACCTCGTTTTTCTCAAAATCTGGAGCTGATGGAAACTTTATGTTTACGGACTCGTAATCAGCATAAAAAAGCCTATCAAAAACAGTTTTATCATTTGCCGCAACAAAATCACTGTTGCCTTGTTTAATTGTTGCTTATAATAAATTTTCAAATATGATATACATATTTTGTTTAAATTTCGTAATATAATTTTTTGATTTGTGTACAGCCAAGAAACATACAACACCGATAATAGAATATAAAGGGACCTTTTCAATTAAAGGTTGCTTGAGAAAAAGGCCATTAAAGGAGGAATCACAATGAAAGTATCACTTATAATAAAAAATTGGCAAACCTAAAAAAACTGACGCGCAGCTACATGGAAACATTATAAATAAAATCGGTTGTGCTAGAGGTTGTAAACTATCGATAGTCAACTAGTACTATCGATAGTTTAACCGAACGGCAAAGCATAAAAGTACGTTTACATATAAATACGTATATTCTCAGTGAAAGCTCGTTAGCTGTCAAATTGGTTGCGCTTGTTATTCTCACAACTCGAGGAAAAGTTAAGCTTCTTCTCTGCGTCACCGTGGTCACTTTTTTCTCCTACACATATTATGATATCTAAATATATTTGAACTTAATATTTTATTAAAATAACCTTAACAAAGCTCTTTTCCTTGCTAGCGTCAATTTTTTTTTACTTTTACATTTGACATTCCTCCTCTTCTTCGCAAGTATAATCGATAAAACTGGGTTGGACACCAAAAAGTTATCGGTTTAATCTGAGATTATTTTATAATTATAATTTTGTATGGCTAATCTCATTTTCTAATCCTCGAAAATGAGGATAATATTTTTATATGTAAACCTATTAGGCGAATCAGTTGCATATGTACATACATACACATAATTTTATTCATTTTGCTGATTTAATGTGTTTTATTCATTCTCGTTTTTAATTCTTTTAATACATAAAAATATTGATATGATTGATCAAATATGATACTTGTATATACTTGTGAATCAAGGGCATTAAAATATCTTGAAAACACCGCATCAATTTGAGCTCGTAGTTTGAGAATTTCTATTTGTATATATTCCTAAATTTAGTAATCTAACGATGCAAAAACCGAAAATGTGGCTCGATAGAACTTTTTGTGCTGATTTCAACCCTACCAAAGTTACCTGGCGAAAGTAAAATATAAAGAAGATCTCAATGGTTAAAGTTAAATTTTCTGATTTTTTTTTAATATTAATATCTTCTGAACAACATAACCTATTAAAAAACTAATGATGTCAAATAAAGGTAATTAATTTGTCTTTCATGTTTGTATATAATTTGAATGCTTTTTATATTTTTAGTCCGAAATACTAAAACACAAAATAAAAAAAAATATATATATATTTTTTAATGGCGTTTATTTCAAATTACACCCAGAAAAAGGTTTAGTTATAACAACCTAGATTTGGTTATAGTGATCAAATGGCATAGTTGAATATGGCGAAATAAATATATAGTTCACGAAAGTCTGCAATTTACTTAACTTTTCTAGTTGGAACAAATGTATATTTGTTAATAATTACAAAACGACTACCTTGATTGGACAATATTGTTAGGTGAATAAAATCATTGTTGAGCAAATACAAACAATGCTTTGGTTGATGCAAGTTTTCAATTAATATTGTGAACTTGCTGTACACTTGAATCAGCTAACCGTTTATTATTGGAAAAAACATTTGACACAAATAAAAATTTACTCGATGTTTGTTGTGTTTACTTTCTTCTTTTATTTGCATATATTAAGCATAAAAATACGTACATATTTACATAAGTTAGTTAATAATAATAATAGATTGGCGCTTACACATATGTTAGTGTTTGGCCGAGCTTCTCCTCCGATTTNGCCTCAACTAAGATTTGGTAACTATGACTAAACCATGTGTTGAAAGAAAGCTTATCTACATTAGCAGAGCTTAATAACATCCTTTTATGAACCATAGGTTAAGTTCAATGGAATTTGTAGAAATATGCTTCAAAGAAATATTTATTAATATTAACTAAACCCTTCAACTAAATTAACGATTTGTTACAACCTAGATGAATATTAGAAGCTTTAATATATTTAGTTATAATTACCAACCCATGGTAATAGTTCCCAATCCTTGGTAACAGTTCCCAAATATTGTCAAAATTCGGGAACTAAATATCTTTAGTTGTCGAAACGAATCCTTTTTCTCAGTGTAGTTTTAAAACTGGTTATAGTATATACATCGCATAAAAGGCATTTAAATTATGTTGAAATTAGCATCAATAATTTCTTAATCGGTTAAGTTGCTTCCGAGATATTAAACACATAAGAAATAGATAACTTGAACGTTTACCTCTTTTATTGGCTTTGGTTTTTATTTGCATTTTTTTGGTTTTTTTGTCCTGTTATAAATTCGACTTTTCTATGATTCTAAAAAGTTTTATTGTGGCAAAAATGTGTGGATTAGGACTACTGGTGAAACCACATAAAAATAAAACGCACCCTAACTTTACCTCTGAGGTGGGGTGGATAAAGTTTTGAGTACATTCTCCTTTGCCGCTGTATTGAGCGCGTTGTTGGTCGAGATTTACACGTCGTACGTGAACATGTATATAATACATTTATTTGAAATTTTGTCCTCTACAACTTTTCCATTTAAGTGTGCCACTTATTTCAAATAGACACAGCTTAAAATTCGAAAAAACCACGCCACTTACCTAATTTTGGGTATTTTTTGCATATTATTAGCAATAAATAAATGTTTAAAAAAATTAAACGCATATGAAAATTGTAGGGAATCGAATTCTCTACAAATTTGTTCTCCACCTTTTTTCGCGAGAAATGGAAAATTCGCGGGCAAATCGTAAAAACACAAAATCCAAGATGGCGGACATTTCCCATATCGCAATTAAGGGAAAATTTTTCATTTTGGGTTCACCTAAACAGGAGACACCTAACTGCGTTAAAAAATGTCTTCCTGGAATTTTTTCGTTGAAAAAATATAAAGTGATCACTGCGTACTGATTTATGACCATCGTAAAGCATTGATAGCATGACATTTGCTGGATGAGCAAAGTATAAGTTATTTCTGCCGCTCCTTGGAGGGAAGAAATGCGTGAGGCGGAGAAATTTGAATGGAAGCGGACTGCCAAATATAACAGAATGGTATGGTAATGTTAAAGTACATCGGAACATAAACTCTTATTCCGCCTTATCATGAGTTTTATTGTCCCCGAACCGTTTCACTTTTCACTTTTGGTTTCCATGGTTTTACTATGGGGGGATGAATTTTTTTCAGGCGAAACTCAGTATAAGGCAGATTAGGTATTATTCTAGAGTTTTTAAGTTACAAGGTGGTGTAGTTGTTGCAACATACAATCGTAAAATTACGTCCGATTTCAATAATTTTCACTGCTTTTGCTTTATATAGCAAGCACAATAATCATATCGTGTTTGGTAAAAATTTATCGAACGGTAACCGAGATTCACATATGTGGTCATAAGCGAGCGGACCAAATCCATTTTCCCAATTTTTTCATAAACGTATTTTTTGCTAAAGAATTATTGCAAACATCAATTTTGAATAAATTAGCTACAGTATTTTCTGATTTATTAAAGATTTCGTATTTCTCTAAATAACCGTTATATGGGATGTGGGCGTGGCTGTGCTCCGATTTTAAAAATTTTCAGTCGTTTAGTATGTTATACCAAGGTCAACATCAGTCTGGGACAAATTGGTGCAGCGGTTACCAAGATATAGGTACACATCTAATCGTAAGTGGGCGTGGCTTCCCCGTTTTCCAAAAATTTATTATATTCTTATTTTTCGTCTAAAACCCATTGTAATTATTAATTTTGAGTTAATGAGCTGCAGTAGCTACTAAAATATCGCAGTTTTTGTATTTCTGAAAACTACCGTTATATGGGAGGTAGGCGTGGTTATTGTCCGATTTTGCCCATTTTCATTAGCATCCTACCCTAAAAGGAAGTACACATACCAAATTTCGTAAAAATGTCTCAATTTTTAATAATTTAATCGTTTTCTTTTCCAATACTGAGCATTTATGTATTAAAAAAAAAACTTAACTACTTTTTGTACCCTCATACGAATTATTAGGTATTTGTTAAAATTTTTCCCACACGTTTTTTTATTACCTGATATGAAACTTCCTCTCAAAATTCGCTGGCTCGAATTTGGTTTAGACCAGAGGCGGGCACTTTTTGATTTTCCAAACACATGTAATTGGGCTTCAAAATGCTGCTTGCTGCGACATCGACACATGTATACTGTCATCGTCTTCGTGCGTCTTACGATAATTGACGATTGTCTGATGCTTCGCTGGTATTTCGGCAAAGTAAATCAAATCAGAAAAGTGTTACTCATACGCCATGTACACCTGAAAAGGTAGAGTATTGGAAGCACGTGCAGCATTTACAACACTTTGAAGTTTACTCTGCACTTCTTATTTTTTTTCTGTTGCAGTGCGAGTTATATTCCGGGAGACTGTTGTTGGATGAGGAACAAATCGTCAACATCTAAGTGCTCTGCAAACTTGTGCCCGATTTTAATAAGGTCTCGCGCTACATTATTTTACCATTTAAAGTTGCAAAAGGTCTGCCGTCTGCTATCTGCTATGCAAAAAAAGTTTACATAGCACATTTTATTGTGTTTACCTGTTCTTTGTTCTTGTCCTAATTGTACGAGGGGAATAGCGTTAGTTTTCCTTATGAATCATTTGTGACGGCGTAAGTTAGAAGTTTGCGTTCCGCTATGCCGCTATGTCGCGATTTTCTTAAAACACCGCTTTGAGTTTTTCAGAAATATTTTCAATAGTATTCGACATAATTTGCGCACGTCAGAATCTTAGAATAACAAGTAAGGTTTAGCAAAAAAAAAACCGACTTCAACTCTCATATAAAAAAAAATATATATATATATATATATATCTCATGATCCCTCATCGTGTTGGTCCCCTTGCCGTGGGGATGAGGCTTAAGTGGTGGTTTAAATCTTCCTTCGGGGGGCTTTAAACCAGCACGAACCAAGAGGGAAGCTCCGTATGGAGATTGGTTGACCACCCGTCTGCGTAACTGTGGGCGTCGTGTTCCTCCAATCATACATACGGAGAGGACCGTACCGACGATTCGCAGCCAGGGGTATCCGGCTGTATTCTAACGGCGCTCTCCTGATACCGGGTCACCTCAGAAGGTAGAATGACCTTGCCACGGCGGAGGGGACCGCTGTGGTCGACGACTCCCTTTTCCCCCTCCTAAATACGTAGTCCGCCACGCTCGCCACGTCGAGCAGTGCGGACGTTTATGAAAAAGATGAACCCAAACAAAAAACCTGCCTCGGATAACCGAGAACCCCCCAAAAAAAGTAGACCCACCCAGTCAGGAAGGTCCGTTCTGTCCTCGGACAAGACCAAGCAAGCCAGCGGTGCAAAGTCTGTGGCCAAGCCAGGGCTGAGCATATACGCTCTGTCCCCTCTGGGACTGCCTCAACGGCATCGAGGCCCCCTTCCGGCAACCGGTCTAGCCATGTCCCTAGACAAGCTAGCGAGGATGTTAATCCGTCCGGTGCTGGTAGCAGACCCACCCTCGCAGATAGGTCTTCGGGAGGCAAGGGCAGCCCTGTCACAAGACAAGCTAGCCCTGCTGCCGTCCCCGCCACTCCAGGAGGCAAGGGAACATCGACAGGTGCAATCCCTAAAGCGGCGTCGGCGACATCAGACCGCATGGCTAAGCCAGCGGCCTCTGAGGTGCGCCATTCTGGCACTAATGTAGCGATGGGCAGTAGCCATCCCCAGAAGCACATTAGTGCATCAGAAAGGTACTATCGTACCAGACGGTCAGCCCTCAGAATCCTGGAGAGACTGAGGGATAAGAAGCCAGAAGAACTGACCGCAGAAGAGCTGGACTCAAGGAATTGGGCCGAAAAGTTTATGGCTGAACACCAGGCGAAAGCCAAACAAGAGTCTGCTCAAGGCAAGCGGAAGTCCTCTAGGGAGCTAAGCTCGGAACCCAAGAGAACAAGGGTATCCGCCATTTTAACAGCGGACGAGCTGCAGAAAAGATCCTTCGCGGACGCGGCGAAGGACACATTTACCAGGGCTGTGATAGACCGCAGCTCACTTGATGGTGCAATATCACCACAAAACTGGGACCTGGTCAACAGGCGACTCTGGGCCGTCTATAAGGAGGTTCTAGGGGAAAACCCAGGACCACCCCCCAGTTGTGCGGACGCCGGTTGGTTCCAAAACCGCGTCAAATTAACAAGGTGCGCGGACCAGAGATCCGTCGACCTATACACCCTGGCCATCAGTCGCGTAGGCGAGGTCTGGCCGGGTGCACGCCTTGAGGCGATAAAGCGGGAAGACATTCCCAATCGGCCCAGATCCAGGGCCTGGATTCCAGACTTCCACACCGACCCACAGGAAGTGCTGGAATGGATACGTATGGGCAACCCCGAGCTACCCACCCACGACTGGAAGGTAGCAAAGATAGGCGATATCGATGGCAAGCGAAGGTTAGCGGTAATAGTCCTCAACGAGGAATCAGTAGAACCGCTAGCCAACCAAAACTGGAGGATAAATTATGGCTTCCAAGCCTTGAACCTCCATGTTTATCGGCAGGACGTGTCAGGGAAACAACACCCTACCGACGAAGCGAGCGCAGTGGAAAGTGCTACTGACGACGAAGTGGCATCCACCTCCGGAATGGTCGGCGAACTCTTCGAGAGGGTGACTCTAGAAGAGGGGGCGGGGGACCACTCCGACTTTTCCGACACCATGGTGGAAGGAGAAGGGGAGGATATCCTCCCCCTTTCTGACGAAGAGGACGTCAACCGGACTGTGGTTGGCTGTCCAGCAGCAGCACGCGAAACTGATGGTGGGGATAGTTCAGATTAATCTCCACCACTGCAAGGCGGCCTCAGCCGCACTTCTCCTCCGTCTCGCCGAAAGAGAAGAGGAGATCGCACTCATCCAGGAGCCTTGGGTCATAAAAGATCGGGTTTGTGGATTGAATATGAAGGGATACAAGCTGTTCTATGTAACTGACAAAGGTAAACCCAGGTCGTGCATATTGATAAAAAAGTGTATTAATGCATTTCTCTTGATACAGTTTAGCGATGCGGACAACGTCATCATAGCAGTGGAATCAGGCGGAATGTCTATTTGGCTGGCTTCCACATATATGGCCCACGACGCAGAAACATTACCTCCACCACAATCCTTAAGGAGCGCGGTAATGGAGGCCTCTAGACGCGGCACTCCGATGGTCATAGGAGCGGACGCGAATGCCCATCATCACATATGGGGCAGCTCAGATACAAATGAACGCGGTGAGTCGATATTCGAATTCATTATGTGCAATAACTTACAGGTTAGCAACGTAGGTGATACCCCTACCTTTGTGACGTCTGTTAGAAGGGAGGTCCTTGACATTACATGTGTCAATGAGCAGGGGGCAGAACTCTTGAATGACTGGAGAGTCTCAAAAGACAACTCCTTTTCGGATCACATGTACGTCGTTTATAACCTATACGTACCAGTAAGAAAACAACAAGCGGTCTTAAACCGCAGAAAAACAAATTGGAAAAAATTTGAAACAATATTTTCTAATAATATTTCCGGCCTCACAAATCAAATAAACTCGGAACATCAACTTGATAACGTCGTAGACGATATAACTAAAGCATTTCATCGTGCAGCAAAATTAGCCTGCCCAATCAGGGCAACAAGTAGGAAACCAAAACCTCCATGGTGGTCCACTGAAATTGCAACCCTCAGAAGGGAATGCAGATCAAAATTTAATGAAGCTAAGAGATCCAACTCTTGGAGTGAATTTAAAGACTGGCAACGCCGATTTAAGTATGCAATAAGAGACGCTAAGCGCTCCTCATGGAGGAACTTCTGTCAGAAGATAGAAAGTACTTCGGAGGCCAGCAGACTGCGCAAAATACTATCTATGAGTCCCAGCAATATTAGCTATCTCATCAAGGAGGATGGTGATTGGACAACTAGCAGCGAAGAAACTCTAGAGCTTCTTGTACAGACGCACTTTCCGGGTTGCCTCCACAGTAGAGTCACAAATACCCGAATCATAGGCAACCATGATGACATTCCAGCGAATATCATAACCGAGGAGAACATAAAGCATGCTATTAGCAGCTTCCAACCGTTTAAATCTCCGGGACCAGACGGCATTATTCCCGCTGACCTACAGCATACAGCAGGAATGATTGCACCCATACTCGTACCAGTCTTTGAAGCAGTGTTACGAATGAATTATATACCCCACAAATGGGAGGAGGTAAGAGTAGTTTTCATTCCCAAGGCAGGGAAAACTACACACACGAGACCAAAAGACTTCAGACCAATTAGTCTGTCGTCTTTCCTGTTGAAATCTCTAGAGAGACTAATAGATGGGCACATTAGAGACAAGGTGGGCAGCAAACTTTCGGCAGCCCAGCATGCCTACAACAAAGGGAGATCAGTCGAAACAGCACTCCATTCTTTAGTGCACACAATTGAAAGATCACTTTATTACAAAGAATACACCCTCGCGGCCTTCCTGGACATCGAGGGTGCTTTCAACAATGTATCTCCTGCAGCGATTATCTCATCTCTGATAAATCTGGGAGTAAGCAATTCACTAACCTCATTTATTGAACGAATGTTAATCGGCCGAGAAATAAGCGCAGGATTAGGTGAATCAGTAATAAAAAGGTTCCCCGTCAGGGGTACACCCCAGGGGGGAGTAATATCACCGCTCCTGTGGAACATAGCAGTAGACAGCCTTCTTCGGGAACTTGAAGACATTGGCGGTCAGATAATTGCATACGCCGACGATATTGTAATAGCTATCTCGGGTAAACATCTTTCAACATTGACAGATCTGATCCAAAGATCCCTCAACAAACTATCCCTGTGGTGTAACAGGCGAGGACTGGGAGTGAATCCTGAAAAAACAGACCTTGTGCTGTTCACCAGGAAGCACAAGATACCTGATCTCGGGAACATAACCCTAGAGGGCAATACCCTCGCAATAAAGGAAGAGACCAAATATCTAGGTCTCATAGTAGATAGGAAACTAAACTGGGGGCCCAACGTTGCAGATAGAGTGCGCAAAGCAACAGTGGCACTATATTCCTGCAGCAGAGCAATAGGGAAAAAATGGGGGATGGAACCCAAAATAATACACTGGCTATACACGGCGGTGGTTAGGCCAATTCTCTATCACGGTATAGTGGTATGGTGGAACGCCCTTGGGAAAGGGGTAAACTTCAAAAAAATGGACAAGGTTCAAAGGCTTGCGTCCACACTCATAACTGGTGCGATGAGAACAACACCATCCAAGGCACTGTATGCCCTACTGAATTTTCTTCCGGTGGACCTACATGCCAAACAAGTCGCAAGTGGCGCGGCAATTCGAATGAATATTCTAAATAAGTGGTCAAATACCAGTTATGGTCACGGTAGAATATTAACGGAGGTTCCGGGGCTACCCGGATTGGTGGACTATGCACTTCCGGAACCTGCACCCGCTACAGCGTTCGCGACCCTCCTACCCTCAAGGGAAGAGTGGAAGCATGACGCTGTAAGTAGTGGAGAGTCCATCCATGTATACACAGATGGCTCAAAGCTCGAGGGTAGGGTTGGAGGAGGTGTATATTCCCATCACCTGGGAATCTCCCTCAGCTTTCGTCTCCCGGACCACTGTAGCGTTTTTCAGGCTGAACTGATGGCAATCGACAGGGCCACGAAACTGGTAAAGTGTGATATGATACCCCAAGTTGATATCTACATCTTCACTGACAGCCAGGCGGCAATAAAGTCCCTCACGAAGCAGTCGACAACCTCCATGGTAGCCATGAAATGCCGCGCATCTCTTAACGAGATGGCTGAGTCATTTCGCCCAAAGGTAATATGGGTTCCGGGACACTGCGGCATAGAGGGGAATTGTAAGGCCGACGAACTGGCGCGACTTGGCACGAAACTTCCTTTTGAGGATATAAATGACGAAATAGGAATACCCTTGCAAACTTGTAAGCTACTTATCTCCGAGAGGCTCACTAAAGTAGCGAACGAAAGGTGGCAGGACGAAATCACCTGCAAAACTGCCAAACAATTATGGCCGGTGCTCAGCGCCAACCGCACTGGCCTACTACTGAGTCTAAATAAGTCCAATATTAGATTATTAGTATCCGTCATAACAGGACACTGCCTAATTGGCAAGCACGCCTATCGACTTGGCCTACGCTCACATGACTTCTGTAGAAGTTGTCAAGATGAAGAAGAGGA